TTTCTCACAATACTGACATATCAAGACCATTTCAAGTTGGGTATTCATCAAAGAATATTTTTATATTAGTTAGAAAGATGGACAAATATAAACTGTGTTAAAGAAACGTTAGAATTATTTATTTTTCTTTATAGTCATTGAATGTTATTTATATGATAAAATATAAGGCAGTCGTTGGGTGTTAAAATGCTGTACATTCTGTCCTGTGAAAATCCAATCTTTTTTTTTATATGTCCGAGCAGAAGGAGCTGTGTAACATGATCCTGGACTGTTGCGCTCAACAGAGGACCTATGAGAAGTTCTTTGGTCTCCTGGCCGGGGTGAGCAACACCACACACTGTTGTTTTTTAAGGATTAAACCTCAGTAGGAAAGTGGCCCTATATCCCTGGTCTTAAAGGTTGAGTTCATTGATGTGCCAACATTAAGGAGTTCCAGTTAGGACCAACAAACAAGTTCAGAATCTAGATTTGTAGATTTGTCTTTGAACTGCTGTAATATTGAGTACTTTGAGATACACAATTTGTTGTCAGAAGATGGCTCATAAACGTGTCTGTGTGCATATGTTTGTGATTTATAGAGGTTCTGTCTGCTAAAAAAAGAGTACATGGAGAGTTTTGAGGCCATATTTGCAGAACAGTACGAAACCATTCACCGACTGGAGACCAACAAGCTGAGGAACGTTGCTCGACTCTTCGCTCACTTGCTCTACACCGACTCTGTTCCCTGGAGTGTGAGGACACGCATGCATACCAATTAATAAATCTACTTTAACACTCTCTCAGTTGCTGTGACTTATTGTCTTATTCACGGCTCTGTTGCAGGTGTTGGAGTGTATCAAGATGAGCGAGGAAACCACAACGTCATCAAGCAGAATCTTTGTGAAGATCCTGTTCCAGGAGCTCTGTGCCTACCTGGGTCTTCCCAAACTCAACCAGAGGCTCAAAGACCAGTACGAACATACTTTAATACCCTAATGAAGGAAAAGGTTTGAGTCGCACGGACACAAATTTGAAGTCTTGTTTAATCTGTGTTTGTGTTTCAGGACCCTGCAACCGTTCTATGAAGGTCTCTTTCCTCGCGATAATCCCAGAAACACTCGCTTTGCCATCAACTTTTTCACCTCTATTGGACTGGGAGGGTGTACGTAAGAGACACATGCGCGCGCACACACACACACACACACACACAAACCATTGTATACCCATAGATTTGTTTTTAATTAACATTATAAACGGCTTTACAATATTAGTATCAGTGTGTTGAAAGACAGCACAGATTACATTTGTATCACTTCATAAATGGTGAATCCTTAAACATGCTTTTTTTGGTGTTTTAGGGATGAGCTGAGAGAACATTTAAAGAACGCCCCAAAGATGATCATGACACAGAACCAGGAGGTGGAATCTTCAGACTCCTCTTCCTCCTCCTCTTCATCCTCCTCGTCCTCATCTGACTCGTCGTCTACGGATTCGGACTCTTCAGACTCGGACTCTTCCTCGTCCTCTAGCAGCAGCAGCAGCTCAGGTACATCAAGCTGCAGTAAACGTCTTCTTTTTGTGCTGGTTCTGTTTATTTTAGTAAATTTCTGAAGGTATAATTGGTTTACAAAAGTATGCCGTAGAGATACCATCAAATACACACTCTCCTTCTAATTCTTTTTTTTGTTTTTTTTTTTTAAACGTGTTGATCGGCTACTAAAGAAACATGGTTTTAAATCAGTTGTAGAGGTTTTTCAGATAGGTGGTGTTTTTTTCCAATAAGCAAGTGCACTATTAAGCCTTAATCTCTAGCTCATCTGTTCTTTTGTATCACACCACCTGCTGGCATAACCAGACCAAAACCACCAAAACCAAACCATCTGCCAAATCCAGTGAATATAATAGATTAAAACGCATATATACCAAAATGTAATAACATCTAGAAAAATGTTATTAATGACTAAAAGATTATTACGTAAAAGGGGCTCAAATATCAACTCTCTCTTTTTCTGTAGACTCTGACAGCAAACACAGGAAAAAGAAGAAGAGAAAAGAAAAAATTGAAGACAAGAAGAAAAAGAAAGAAAAGGACAAGAAGCAAAAGAGGGAGATCTCTGCAGAGAAGAGAACCAGACGCAGGGATGACAGAAACCGAGAGGACGAGAGCGAAGATGAGAAACAGGCGAGGAAGCAAAGGAACCCCCGTGTGCATGAAGAAGAGGAGCATGCACGGGAGGTTAGCCGCCAGAGACGCCGAGAAGAACGACCAGACAAAGATGAGGAGCCGATGAGGGGGGAAGAACGGAGGCGAAAAATCGATGGTCAAAGTAGACAAAGAGATGGAGAAAGGGAGTTGGAGAGGGATAGAGACAGAGGTAGAGATAGAGAGAGGGGCAGAGAACGAGAGTTTGAGGATAAAAGAGACAGGGACAGAGGCAGGGACAGGGAGTATGAGGAGAAGAGTGAGAGAGACAAAGAGAGGAATAAGGAGAACAGAGACAGGAACAAAGAAAAAGAGGAGAGGAGAAGGAGGTAAAAACTTTTCAATGAAACACTTCTGTTCATCACCCGTCCTATCACTCTGCTGTTAAGGAACTGGGACCCATTACTTTCTCACTGTGTCTCTCTCTTTACTTTCTATTGTTGATCATGTTGTTAATGACATAATGTAGAGAAAAAAACATTAAAGTTGCTTTAGATTTTTTTTTAATCAGCTTCTATTTGACCTGTGAGGAGTGATTTGCTTCAATGTGAACTGAGCTTTTTGTTCCCTATTTATGATTGAAAAAACGCAAAACATTTACTGTCTAGGTCTGGCTTAGCTTAAAAACGAGTTATTATTGTCGGAAAAAATGACAAATCCTACCCTCTTAAAAGTTATGTAGACAAAATTAACTTATTTAGCTTCATTATAAAAATCTAATTTTGTAAGTCCACACATCTGGTTTTTTTAAAATTAAAATAATATTTTTATAAATACACCTTACCAAAACCCAGTGCTTTTTCCTATGTCAGTCTGCCGAGTCAACACCAGACAGCTTTTGTGGAAACAACCTTAAATTAAATTATGACACACATCCTCTCTATTTAATTTTAAAAGGACCAGAGACCATTTACACAGGTGTACACAAATACAAAAATAGTTACCACGATTAGGAAGAGACTGTCTCTTATGGAAACAAACAAAACATTGTCTACTTCACATTTAATGTGCAATAAATATGGATTTAAATAAGTTTTACTTATCGGAATGTAAAAAACTATCGGCCAAACTAAGCCTAATTGAACTTGACAGGAGAAACATGGTTTTTACGCAAGAATAACTTAAAGAACATACAGTGAAGATTCGATTAAACGGATGTAAAACTTTGTGCTACCATTGGCGACTGTCAGCCAATCCAGGGGTGGAATTCTAAGTCTTCACCAGTCATTTCTCTTTTCACTGCAGATTGTTTGGCATATCCTCTTTTTACATACATGGCCCAATTGCACGTCTGACAACCCTATAGCTCAGCAAAAAATAGTACATGCAAACGATATGACAGGTGTAGCAAAAAGTGCCTAATGGTAGCTCAACTCAAAAGCTTGTTTTTATTTTACTTTTTTGTCGTATTTTTTTACTATTTTATTTATTACCTGAGGTCACTTGTCTCTGACATATTTTCCTTACAGAAGTCCCAGACTGCGTTCACCAATCACATCTTGGCTTATGAGAACCCTTATTTGCATGTTAAATTTTATAAAAACAAATGATCAAAATTAGCTACATTTTATTTACGTAGAGCGTGTTGGAATACCGACAAATTCGCTAATTCAGAATTAGCTGTTTATCACAGATCAAGAGATTCAATTGGTTCAGTAGCTGCAGTGTATTGAACTGTGAAGGATTGATCCAGTTGGTTTTAGTGCGGCAGCAGTGACTAGTTTTTTCACTGTGGCAGTCAGGTGCTGAGGGAACTCTAATGACATCCCTTCTGTTATTGTTTCTGTAGCATGTTTAGTTTGATTATCTTTTGCCTACCTATTTGAGGGCTTTGCAACTTTTAGAAACTTTAAAAAAATGTTTTTCCTAATTGTCCCTCTCTATTACCCCCTTCACACTCAAAAATAACATACATGACAGTTGTGTGTCACAGAAGCTGTAGTAACTGTACATAAACTAAACACAGGGAATTGTATCACACAGAACACTACTGTGCATTTACAGTACACTTTCCTTTTCCTTGCAATTAAACCTTTCAGGTAAAGTGATGAGAATGGAGGGACTACACTACCACAAGAAAAAAAGTACTGCATCCTCACATGTATTGTGTTTTTGAAGAACTACTCACTGCACATATTCTCACTTTACACTGTGAATCCCATGTTACTTTGTATCTCCTGATATCTTTTCATTTGCATTCGTGTTTACAACAAACATCTCCTCAGGCCGTGGTGGCTCAGAATATGCTGATGTTGACAGTTTCATATGTTTCATCTTTATTCTCCGGCAGGACCAGCAAGGTTTGAATATGAAATCCAGATTTCTTCACATCGTTCGGCGGTCAGTAAGTCCCCCACGTCTTTCTCCCCCATAGTACACCACACACATTCAATCCATTTTCCTGCCACAGAGCTAAATTTAAATCAGTTTCAGTGTCTTCATCCTAATTAAAGCTCAGAGAAATATATAAATGATTTTCTATTTCTGCCCAAACCTTAAACGAAAGCTACATCATCTTATGTATACATCTACAGAACCATTATAAACTTAATGCTTGAGGCTTTATCATCTCTAAATGCTTCCTTTAGGCATGAGATCATCTGCCTTAATCGTACACTATCACTTGTTTCCACTTGTTTTTACACCTAGCATGTTATGTACCTCCCCATCACATCCATCCTATTCTATATTATCTAATTTCATTTTGGCTCAACTTTTCATCCTGCCTCCTGCAGCCTTATCTTCTACATTCTTTTGCCCAACATATGTATATCCCATTACACTTCTGTCATCCGTCCTGGTGTTAAGCAGGGAGGTGAGTCTGATGGGAAAAAACGCACAGGTGACCAGGGGTCAATACAAAACTGTTACTTGGCACTGAGACTTTATTTCAATTTTCTATGGTATAAAGGAATATTATTGGTTTTTTGGCCAGGTTTAAGTTATAATTCATAACATAACATTGCAATGAAAGGAACAAAAATAGTCATATCTAGTCATAGTCATATAATAGTCAAAAACTGAACCATGAAGCAGTGACTCAGTAAACAGAAAGTCCTCATCATGACATTTCAAGAAATTCTGGTTTAGAAGAAAAAATCCATTTGAACAGACTTATAATCTGGTCACTCTAATAGATAATATAATTAATGTCATTATATATGTATATATATTCACATTTCTAGATGGTATTTGTTCAATTATTCTCTATCTCAAAGGTTTGTACACATCAGTACCCTGCTGTTGCATTATGTAGTTTTTATTGTATGTACAGTACCATTTTACCACAATTCTGCACACTATATAAATATAAATATATGAACCCTCTTCAGCAAACTATATACATCAGTACAATTAACAGCCTGTCTTTCTACTCTGTCAACACACAAGTGTACAGCAGGTCCTATTTTCTTTCTCCCAGCTTTGCTTCTGTATCTTTTTATATTCTTACTGTAATGTTCAAGGTGAGAGGCGAAGATGCCTGCCTTTTTTCACATGCGTGCACACGCACATTTGTGTAAGTGGGTCGCTGCATTGCTGGATTGTGATTGGCTGGATGTCCAGAGGAGGAAGATAGTCAGATTGGTCCTCTTCTGCTGCTGCAGCAAATGGAGGGACGGCTTCACTGGGTTTGACCAGTGGAGATAAAATATTACATACTGTCTGCTTAATCTTTCAGTGAACTCAGGTCACTGGAAAACGCACATTTGACCTAGAGCAACACTCTGAGAGGTTAGATTTCTTCTGGTTACAACAGACTAACATTAACTATTAATACAAGTTTGGGTCGTAGTATGATTTTATTTTATTTTTTAAAGAAACATAGACATTAAATGCTTTAGCCAATTCTCACAGAGCCAGGTATTTCCCTAACCCCTCTCTCTTTCTCTCTCTGTCTCTGCAGTGTGAAATGCCTCAGCTCTCTGACATGATGTTACCTCCTGCCTGCCTGTGTGTCTGTCACCACCATGACAATGAAGACTGGATGGCTGGGTGGTTCAAAGCCTAGGTTTTTTTTTATTATTATTTATCCATCAATACTAAATCCTTGTCTCAGTCAATATGACTTGAAGTGGATTATAGCATATTCCCTCATGTAAAGGCAAGTTTTATTTATTGATTTATTGAATTTAGTGAGATATTTGTTTCAACAACTGCAACTCACATTGTTATTTTAATAATTTACATTCTTAAGGTAACACCATTGCAATTTTTATTTGATAAAATAACCATAAATGGTCCTACTGGCAGCTGACACTTTTTATTAATGGCCTTCCTCTTATCATTGTTTTTATTTTATTTTATCAGATCTACTACCATCTACTACATGATCCTCTCTGGAGAGACACAGTCGCAGGGCTAAAAGAAACTTCCAAACGTCCTTTAACCTGACACCTGCTGACAGCACCAACAGGTGAGTTGACAGTAAAAACAGAAAGAGTGCGACAGATAACACAGTGAACACAGCTGGGGAGTGTGTGTTTGTGTGTATTGTTGTGTTACCACTTATCTGGTTAACACTTTTGCAAGTGGTGTTTCCATAGATTTATTATTTTTAATTCTGCCGTAATGCTTACGTTTGTAAACAGTAAGATAAAATCCTTATATACTCTGTTTTAACATTTCCATTCCTCTTTTTTCCTCTATTGTACAGTAATATATACAACGCCCTCGTTCATCTACTTATATACTGTACTTAGTGTGAGCGTGCGTGCAAGCGCGTGCGTGTTAAACGCATGCGCACCGATGCCTCTCGCTTCTGTGGGGCGCAGGCGGCGCGCAGCTCACATAGTTGATCGGTGTCCGGAGTGAGAGAAGCTGATGTGGACGACGATGATAATCGACGACTGTCGACCAAAGCAAGGGACGCACCCACACACAGACAGTGGACTCGGCGTCAGTCAGTTTAGCGGTTATTAATGATTAATAATCGGCAGGTGTGAGAGGAGTTCAGCGCTTCAGTGCACATTATAGCGGGACTCTGTACACTTTCAACATCCATCACCTCCTTCTTCGCCTCCTCTGGTAAGTCACCTCCTCCTGATTGTTTTCCTTCTTTCGTTGTTGTTGATTAGTTTATGTTGATAATTGTTTATTAGTTTAAGGTTTTTAGCAGCGGCAGCGGTTTTAGAGCACAAACACCTTGACTTGTCTCTGAGCGTCTCTCCGCTGTTTGTTTTTTTTTTTAACCACATCACATTCAGGTTTCAGATTCAATCAAATAAAACACATAATTATCCATAAAACTCTTCATAATTCTAGTAAAACACACTCCAGGGTTTGTAGAAGTTTTAATTGAAAAAAAAAACCCACACCTTTGAATATATGTTACTTTTCTCAGATCAGCGATTCTCTGATTCCTGGTAGGTTATTTTATTTCCTAGTTGTTTCCAGAAAGCGCTTTTGTCAGTTCTGGGTTTTAAGTGTAAAGTACTTAGCTTGATGATTGGATAATCAGAGTTTTTTTCAGTAGCTAAAGCAAATGCTGTTTATTTCTTTGTTGTCACATTGTGCCTGTGAGACCTTAAAATTCTATTTTATTTTTTATCATGAGAACCTCTTTTTTTAATCTAAAGAAACATAAATGGTCAATGCAGATAACAAAAACAAGTTATTGACTGTTTCATTTATAAAATGAATGTAGTTTCATTTGAATTATCTTCACCTTACAAAGACTTGTTGAAGGTCATTTTTGTCCTGTCCTCAAAGGTGTGCTGGCATCTGTAGTCTCTACCTTCTTCCACTGATTTCTTTGCACATTGCAGCCACGTACGTGTTCTAAAACTCCCTTCCTTTCCTTTCTGTCACTTCTTTTTTATACTTTGTTCCCTTCTTCCTTACTGACTTAATTACCTCCATAATCACACCATCATCTGAAGGTGACATATTAGATGCACTTATCACTGCACAGCTCTTGAAAGGTCTTTATTATTGATATCACACAATTAAAAACCAGTTTTAAGTGTCTGCGACATGATGTGATCGTGTCCTTTCGTCCCGGCTCTGGCAGAGTTCCTGCTGGTCTCGTTTCAGACTTGGATCTTAATTCACTTTCTTAGCCCTCTGTGAGGTTAATTAACAAAAATCCATTTAATTACAGCAGCAGAGGGAAACTCACGAGGACACATTCACACAGAGAGTCTGGTCTAATAGGAAGAAATAACCTCAGCTGATATTCGTCAGCTGCTCTTAAAGCACAG